CCGCTGCGTTTTTCAGTGTTTTTATGAGTGATGGTCACTCATTGGGCTAATAGGTGTATTGTGTCCAAATTTGGTGTCAACTTGCCCAGTGATTTTTGAGTTATGTTAGTCCCACAAACGAACATGACATTTTTATTTATATAGACTAGCCATCCCCTGCCACGCGTTGCTATGGCCCAGTCTGTGTATATGTGTTTTGTGTGTGTATATATATTTCTGTATATATGTGTTTGTGTATATATGTGGTTATGCACTGTAATGTATTTTTATTTTTTGGCTTTTAAAGTCTCTTCCACTGCATTTTTCAGTGTTTTTATGAGTGATGGTCACTTGTTGGCTTGATAGGTGTATTGTGTCTAAATCTGGTGTCAATTCATCCAGTGATTTTTGAATTGTGTTAGTCCCACAAACGAACATTACATTTTTATTTATATAGATAAGCCGTCCCCTGCCATGCGTTGCTGTGGCCCAGACTGTGTATATGTGTTTTGTGTGTGTATATGTGTGTGTATATATTTGTGTATATATGTGTTTGTGTACATATCTGGTTATGCACTGTAATATATATTTATTTTTTGGCTTTTTAAGTCTTTGTGTATATATGTGTTTGTGTATACGCACTATAATGTATTTTTATTATTTGGCTTTTTAAGTCTCTTCTGCTGCGTTTTTCAGTGTTTTTATGAGTGATGGTCATTCATTGGCCTGATAGGTGTATTGTGTCCAAATCTGGTGTCAATTCATCCAGTGATTTTTGAGTTATGTTAGTCCCACAAACGAACATGACGTTTCTATTTATATAGACTAGCCGTCCCCTGCCACACGTTGCTGTGGCCCAGCCTGTATATGTGTTTTGTGTGTGTATATGTGTATATATTTCGCTTTTATTTATATAGACTAACCGTCCCCTGCCACGCGTTGCTGTGGCCATGTCTGTGTATATATGTTTTGTGTGTATATATATTTGTGTTTGTGTATATGCACTGTAATGTATTTTTATTTTTCGGCTTTTTAAGTCTCTTCCGCTGCGTTTTTCAGTGTTTTTATGAGTGATGGTCACTCACTGGCCTGATAGGAGTATTGTGTTCCAATTTTGTGTCAATTCGTCCAGTGATTTTTGAGTTATGTTAGTCCCACAAATGAACGTGACGTTTTTATTTATATAGACTAGCCATCCCCTGCCATGCGTTGCTGTGGCCATGTCTGTGTATATGTGTTTTGTGTATGTGTGTGTATATATTTGTGTATATATGAGGTTATATATTTATAATTTTGTGTATGTGTATGCATATATTTGTGTATATATGTGTATGTGTATATTTGTGTATATATGTGTTTGTGTAAATGCACTGTAATGGGGTTTTTTTTGGCTTTTTAAGTCTCTTCCACTGCATTTTTCAGTGTTTTTATGAGTGATGGTCACTTGTTGGCCTGAGAGGTGTATTGTGTCCAAATTTGGTGTCAATTCGCCCAGTGATTTTTGAGTTATGTTAGTCCCACAAACGAACATGACGTTTTTATTTATATAGACTAGCCATCCCCTGCCACGCGTTGCTGTGGCCCAGCCTGTATATGTGTTTTGTGTGTGTATATGTGTATATATTTAGCTTTTATTTATATAGACTAGCCGTCCCCTGCCACGCGTTGCTTTGGCCCAGCCTGTATATGTGTTTTGTGTGTGTATATGTGTATATATTTCGCTTTTATTTATATAGACTAGCCCTCCCCTGCCACACGTTGCTGTGGTCCAGCCTGTATATGTGTTTTGTGTGTGTATATGTGTATATATTTTGCTTTTATTTATATAGACTAGCCGTCCCCTGCCACGTGTTGCTGTGGCCCAGTCTGTGTACATGTGTCTTGTGTGTATATATATTTGTGTTTGTGTATATGCACTGTAATGTATTTTTATTTTTTGGCTTTTTAAGTCTCTTCCACTGCGTTTTTCAGTGTTTTTATGAGTGTTGGTCACTTGTTGGCTTGATAGGTGTATTGTGTCCAAATCTGGTGTCAATTCGCCCAGTGATTTTTGAATTATGTTAGTCCCACAAACGAACATGACGTTTCTATTTATATAGACTAGCCATCCCCTGCCACGCGTTGCTGTGGCCCAGTCTGTGTATATGAGTTGTGTGTGTATGTGTGTGTATATATATGTTTGCGTACATAGGTGGTTATGCACTGTAATCTATATTTTTTTTTGGCTTTTAAAGTCTCTTCCACTGCGTTTTTCAGTGTTTTTATGAGTGATGGTCACTCATTGACCTGATAGGTGTCTTGTGTCCAAATTTGGTGTCAATTTGCCCAGTGATTTTTGAGTTATGTCAGTCCCACAAACGCACATGACGTTTTTATTTCTATAGACTAGCCGTCCCCTGTCACGCGTTGCTGTGGCTCAGTCTGTCTATATGTGCTTTGTGTGTGTATATTTGTGTATATATGTTTGTGTATATGCACTGTAATGTATTTTTATTTTAAGTTTATGTGCTTTGTGTGTGTATATATGTGTGTATGTGTGTGTATATATGTGTTTGTGTATATAGGTGGTTATGCGCTGTATTGTATTTTAATTTTTTGGCTTTTAAAGTCTCTTTTGCTGTGTTTTTCAGTGTTTTTATTAGTGATGGTCACTCATTGGCCTGAGAGGTGTCTTGTGTCCAAATTTGGTGTCAATTCGCCCAGTGATTTTTGAGTTATGTTAGTCCCACAAACAAACATGATGTTTCTATTTATATAGACTAGCCATCCTCTGCCACGCGTTGCTGTGGCCCAGCCTGTACATGTGTTTTGTGTGTGTATATGTGTATATATTTCGCTTTTATTTATATAGACTAGCCGTCCCCTGCCACACGTTGCTGTGGCCCAGCCTGTACATGTGTTTTGTGTGTGTATCTATTTGTGTTTGTGTATATGCACTGTAATGTATTTTGTGTTTGTATATGTGTATATATTTCGCTTTTATTTATATAGACTAGCTGTCCCCTGCCACACATTGCTGTGGCCCAGTCTGTGTTTTGTGTGTGTATCTATTTGTGTTTGTGTATATGCACTGTAATGTATTTTGTGTGTGTATATGTGTATATATTTTGCTTTTATTTATATAGACTAGCCGTCCCCTGCCACGCGTTGCTGTGGCCCAGTCTGTGTATATGTGTTTTGTGTGTGTATATATGTGTGTATGTATGTGTTTGTGTAAATGCACTGTAATGTATTTTTATTTTTTGGCTTTTTAAGTCTCTTCCACTGCATTTCTCAGTGTTTTTATGAGTGATGGTTACTCATTGGCCTGATAGGTGTATTGTCTCCAAATCTGGTGTCAATTTGCCCAGTCATTTTTGAATTATGTTAATCCCATAAACAAATATTACATTTTTATCTATATAGATTAGCCATCCCCTGCCACGTTTTGCTGTGGCCCAGCCTGTATATGTGTTTTGTGTGTGTATATGTGTATATATTTTGCTTTTATTTATATAGACTAGCCGTCCTCTGCCACGTGTTGCTGTGGCCCAGTCTGTGTATATGTGTCTTGTGTGTATATATATTTGTGTTTGTGTATATGCACTGTAATGTATTTTTATTTTTTGGCTTTTTAAGTCTCTTCCACTGCGTTTTTCAGTGTTTTTATGAGTGTTGGTCACTTGTTGGCTTGATAGGTGTATTGTATCCAAATCTGGTGTCAATTCGCCCAGTGATTTTTGAATTATGTTAGTTCCACAAACAAACATGACGTTTTTATTTATATAGACTAGCTGTCCCCTTCCATGCATTGCTGTGGCCCAGTCTGTGTATATGTGTTTTGTGTGAGCATATGTGTGTGTATATATTTGTGTATATATGTGTTTGTGCTTATATGTGGTTATGAACTGTAGAGTATTATTATTATTTGGCTTTTTAAGTATCTTCCACTGCATTTTTCAGTGTTTTTATGAGTGATGGTCACTCATTGGCCTGATAGGTGTATTGTGTCCAAATTTGGTGTCAATTCGCCCAGTGATTTTTGAGTTATGTTATCCCACAAACGCACATGACGTTTTTATTTCTATAGACTAGCCGTCCCCTGCCACGCGTTGCTGTGGCTCAGTCTGTCTATATGTGCTTTGTGTGTGTATATTTGTGTATATGCACTGTAATGTATTTTTATTTTTTGGCTTTTTCAGTTTATGTGCTTTGTGTGTGTATATATGTGTTTGTATATATAGGTGGTTATGTGCTGTATTGTATTTTAATTTTTTGGCTTTTTAAGTCTCTTTTGCTGTGTTTTTCAGTCTTTTTTTGAGTGATGGTCACTCATTGGCCTGATAGGTGTCTTGTGTCCAAATTTGGTGTCAATTCATCCAGTGATTTTTGAGTTATGTTAGTCCCACAAACGAACATGACGTTTCTATTTATATAGACTAGCCATCCCCTGCCACGCACTGCTGTGGCCCAGCCTGTATATGTGTTTTGTGTGTGTATATGTGTATATATTTCGCTTTTATTTATATAGACTAGCCGTCCCCTGCCACACGTTGCTGTGGCCCAGTCTGTGTATGTGTTTTGTGTGTGTATATATTTGTGTTTGTGTATATGCACTGTAATGTATTTTTATTTTTTGGCTTTTTAAGTCTCTTTTGCTGTGTTTTTCAGTCTTTTTATGAGTGATGGTCACTCGTTGGCTTGATAGGTGTATTGTGTCCAAATCTGTTGTCAATTTGCCCAGTAGTTTTTGAGTTATGTTAGTCCCACAAACGAACATGACATTTTTATTTATATAGAAGAAGACAGCAGAGCTTTGGATACAAAAGACAGAAGATAGCAGAGCTTTGGATACAAAGGAGGAAAATGAGGTGTTTGCTGAGTAAGGCCCCCAATGCCTTCCTTCTATACAGCATAGATTTGGGACAAAAGGGAAGGGGAGTGGGAATAATAGAGAGGATCCCCAAAGCCTTCCATAGCCAAGCTTGGGGACAAAAGGAGGGGATGGAGCCCCCCCCCCAAGCGCCCCAATATTTACTTACCCCGACATGAGGCGGTGGCGGCGACGAGGAGCAGGATGTGCGCTGACCTCCAAGCAAGGGACCCTTTGGCGCTCCAGCAAGAGGCCATAACACCGCCACGGCGGGGGCGAGCGAGCGAGCAGCGAGAGAGGGAGCGAGGCGAGGGGAGCGAGGAAGGCCCTCCTCAGCGGGAAGCCTCGCCTGCCGCGCCGGCCTCTGGCCTCCTCAGGCGCCGAGCCATAGAGCCGCTGATGCCGCTGCTTCGACGCCCGGCTGCGGCCTCCTCTTTCTTTCTCTCTTCCTTTCTCTCTCTCAGTGTCTCTCTCTCTCTCTCGCCTGTCTCCTCAGGCTCTGGCTCTGGCTCTAGCGGCGGCAGGAGGAGCTCTGGCGGCGCTTCTGCGCATTAGAAAGCCAGGCCTCGCTCGCTGAGGGAAGAGAGAGAGAGGGAGATGGAGGAGGAGGAGACTCCTGGGTCCTGAGGGACGCTCCTGGCCTCCTCCTGACCCTGTTTCCCCGCACACTGAGCATCAACGCCAGGCCTGGGCCAGCTTGGGCACTCCAGGTGTTTTGGACTTCAACTCCCACAAGTCCAAACAGTATTAGGAATGTATTGTCCAAGTTAGGCATTGTGGGAGTTGAAGTCCAAAACACCTGGAGGGCCAAAGTCTTGTGAGCCCCATTACTCCATAATATATATCATACTACTAGTACTATTACTACTACTACTAATATAATAAAGTTGACAACAGATCCCAAAAGTAGACTGCAAGGAAGCAGATGAAACAATAGAATCATAGAATCAATGGAACACCTCAGCAAGCGAGAGTCCAAAAGTGGCAGGCTCAAACCCAGAACCTCAACCAATGGCTGATACCAAATGAGAGACCCCCCCCCCCCCCCCCCCCCCCCCCCCCCCCCCGGGGCACACAGAAAACTGGGCAACTTGGAAGGCGCTGAACAGACTGAGCTCTGGCACCACAAGATGCAGAGGCAACCTCAAGAAATGGGGCTACAAAGCGGAATCCACGACATGTGAGTTTGGAGAGGAGCAAACCACTGACCACCTGTTGCAATGCAACCTGAGCCCTGCCACATGCACCATGGAGGACCTCCTTGCAGCAACACCGGAGGCACTCCCAGTGGCCAGATACTGGTCAAAGGACATTTAACCAACTACCAAACTCACAAGTTTTYTATGTTTCTGTTTGTTTGCTTTGTTCTGTTAGAAATGTAATATAATTGACTGGTTGCTCTGACASGACAAATAAATAGAATCAAAGAGTTGGAAGCGACCTCATGGGCCATCCAGTCCAACCCCCTGCCAAGAAGCAGGAATATTGCATTCAAATCACTCACTCCCTGAGTCCCTTTGGGGAGATAGAGTGGAATATAAATAAAGGTTATTATTATTATTATTATTATTATTATTATTAATATTAATATTAATATTATTAATATTATTATTATTAGCCGTCCCCTGCCACACGTTGCTGTGGCCCAGTCTGGTGATCTGGAAAATGAAGTAATTACAAAGTGTTCATTTCTAATATATGTAATGTCTTTATGCTTGTGGTTAAACAATATTTCTTGCTGTTTCTTTGTCAGTGTTGACGTGGAGATTGTCTGGTTTGCCTACTCTGAAACATGCAACATATAATTGTCCTTCTTTAGGGCTTCCTTTCAAATACTATATCTCTCTGTGTGTGAATCATATCTATCTATCTATATCTATGGCTGGATGGCTCTTTGTCAGGAGGGCTTTGGTTACGTTTTCTTGCCCTGGTGAAGGGAGTTAGACTGGATGACCTCAGGTATTTTCTGTTGGTCATGGGTGTTCTGTATGGGAAGTTTGGCCCAATTCTGTCATTGGTGAGCTTCAGAATGCTCTTTGATTGTAGGTGAACTATAAATCCCAGTAACTCCCAAATGCCAAGATATATTTCCCCCAAACTCCATCTGTGTTCATATTTGGGCATATTGAGTATTCGTTCCAAGTTTTATCCGGATCTATCACTGTTTGAGTCCACAGTGCTCTCTGGATGTAGGTGAACTACAACTCCCAAACTCAAGTTCAATGCCCACCAACCCCTTCTAGTGTTTTCTGTTAGTCATGGGAGTCCTGTGTGCCATGTTTGGTTCAATTCCATCATTGGTGGAGTTCAGAATGCTCTTTTATTGTAGGTATAAATCCCAGCAATTACAACCCCCAAATGACAAAATCAATTTTCTTTTGAGTGATGGTCACTCCTTGGGTTAGTAGGTGTCTTGTGGCCAAGTTTGGTGGCAATTTATCCAGTGGTTTTTGAGATGTTAATCACACAAATGAACATTGAATTTTTATTTATATAGATAATTGTGCTTTGCTACTCTGCTGCTGAATACCCATGCCCAGTGTGGAATACATCTCACCACCCTAAAACAGTAGATGTGTCTCTTAATGAGACATGTTGCATTATCACAGGATGCCTATGCCCAACATCGCTGGAGAAATTATACTGTTTAGCCGATATTGCACCACCTGACATGCATCGGAAAGTAGCAGCCCAAAATGAAAGGACCAAGGCAAATATAAGAGTGGCACAAGCAACAATTGTGCTGAGATGGAAAGAATACAAAAATGGGAAATAAAAGAATGGTACGAATATCTATCCGACTGTATGCTCAAGGATTATATCAGTGAAGAGAAAAAGAAAATACAAGAAACTAAATCCATGATCCAGAATGGACTTTTTGAACCTAGTGGGGATGTAAATCGGTGCGGATTTTCATCCTGTCTGGAAGCGCCCTTAGTCTACACTGCCATATAATCCAAGCAGATAACATGGATTTTATATGGCAGTGTAGAAGGGGCCTAAAATAGAATTAGAAAGAAGTAGAAATTGAGTTATACCAGAAAAGTATGTAATCTTCTTTACATGTATGTATTGATTTTATTTATTTATTTATTTACTTTATTTGTATACCGCACTCTCTCAGCCCGTAGGCGACTCAGTGCGGTTTACAACAAAACCAATATACAAAGTGCACAACATTAGCAATTTTGTTTCTTTAATATAATGGAGACAGTTATACCCTACTTATACAACTCAATAAAAAAAAGATCCACAAATGTGAAATAGGCAAATGTAGTGGGCCAACTGTATTACTATTTTGAAATTTAGTCTTTGGAGATCTACAGTCTTTTAATATTGAAAGGTAAATTAAGGTTAATAGTGTGTGCAATGCCTGCTCTCACAGTAAATTTTGATAGTAACACATCTGGGAATACCTTTGCAACAGTACAATTTCCTTGTAGGAATTGGATTGAGAAGATGTGTGTGATTGTTTCCAAAATGCCTAATTACATAGACCTGATGAGCAAAAGTACATAATTCCTAACATGAAAGTACAACTAATGGGGTGAATTTTTGGCTTTCTACTAACATACATTTGTGGGAGCCTTTGGGTTGCTTCAGAATTATTTTAAGGGATCAAATTGAGGATACTGTACTTTCCCAATGCTAAAGGAATGATATTTCTTGTCTTTGCTTGCATGAGAAATATACCTTATCGAGAAAAGAATTAGGATATGTTTAGATCCCATCAACTGATATCCTAGAGATTACACTGGCCATCCAGTCGAACCCCTGCCATGCAGGAAAAGCACAATCAAAGCACCCCTGCCAGATGGCCATCTTGCCTCTGTTTAAAAGCGTCCAAAGAAAGAGCCTCCACCACACTCCAAGGCTGTGAGTTCCATTAATAAAATATTTTGAAAACAAGTCCCATAGAGTAATTCATCATTACAAACACAGTTATCTGGAGCTTGAAACAACAAGGAAAAGAAAACAAATTTTCAGCTACAAGGGATTTGTCTGGCACTGTTCTCAGCTAAAAAGCCAGATACACAAAAACTTCTCTTTACTGTCAGGTTCTTAGACTCCCACTTGCCTCTGCACTTACATCACCAAAGGCTTTATTTAAGCTACCTGCAACATCCCGTTTTCTTCCTCTCCTTAACTCAAATTCTATATTATGCATGCCACATGCTTCCATCCCAGTTGCCAAGATGTGATAAGAGCTCTTACTTTTTTTGGATTGAGATAATATTCCTGTCTTGCCAGCTGTTGGAGTTTAACTTAGCAAATATCACTTCTCTCTTTGCTGCACACTTGTCTGTCTAGTGCTCCACACGGGAGGGCCTACTGTTCTTCAAGAGCGTCCAAATCACAGGTTTGCGGCTGAAGCTTCCTTTGAGTGGCTTCAAATTGTTTCCACACATTGTACAGCACACTGAGCAAAACCTTTCTTAGCTCTGCTACTGCCTTCTGTTCCATGTTCTTTCTTAATCCAAAAGTCTGCAAACATTTCAACATGAGCCACTGGGTATAGGACCTCCAAGCCCAGACCGCTAAGTATGCCATAATACCAGTGGGATCACCTGATTCAACATCTGAGCCACTGACATCCAAACATTTTGCATAAACTATCTCAGAAGATCAATCTGGCCTACATCATTCTCAGCGGGCTTTCCCCACCTCACAGGGCCATTGTCCTTATATCCCACCCTCATCTCTCTTTGTTACACTAGGATACCAAGCAGGGCCGTAGCCAGAAAAAAATTTCGGGAGGGGTTGAAATTTTCGGGGGGTTGAAAATTTCGGGGGGGGGGGGGTGTTGAAACCTGCCTCCTAGCTCACGCTGAAGCAAAGAGCACAGCAGGGGGCAGAGCAGCCTTCAATAGCCTGCAGCTCCGCCCCTGTCAACCACCTCCACCAAGTCTGGCCTCCTTAATGAGAGCATTCAACACACACACACCCAACTTGGTTGCTTCACTACATCGGCTATTGCTGCAAGTAATGACAGTGTGAATAAATTGTCAATATTTGCTTGAGATAGTGCTTACAGTTCTGGAGGGACTCTTAATTTTTTGCATCTCATAGACTTAGCATGGGGATTTGGTTAACCAGTTAAAATTCATGAGTAAACCAGTTTTTTTAAAAAAAACTGAAACATTTTGGGGGGGGGTTGAACCCCTAAAACCACCCCCTCGCTACAGGCCTGATACCAAGCAATAAACTCAGCAGTTGGTGAAAAGGAGGACAGATTTATTAGATAAAAGGCGAAACCTTAAATCCACTGGGTTCCTACAGCAAGCTCTACAGAACAAGTCACACTTCTAGTTGTTTGTTGGAAACCCATGGAAACAGCATCAGTTACAGGCCTGTGATATACAACTTCTTATCAGCTCTTCTGCACTGAGCCTTGTAAGGCCAATTTTGCAGGATGTTTATGTGCAGATGCCTATGTTTAATATGTTCATATAAACAAACTGATTAATAATGTGTTATAATGTATAGAAAAACCACAAACAAAAACTTGGCATTGTTCTAAATTGATTTATGCACACAACCTGAAGGTAATTTTATGTGATTTTAAATATTTTTTGCATAAAACAAAAGTTGTA